ATGCATGTTGACTTGGGAATGGCGTAGGTCAGGAAAGGTCAAGAAACATTTGAAAAAAATCCCGAATGCAGTTTGAATTTTGATAAGATTTAATAGCGGCACTTTCAAACATTTTTTCGTCTAAGTAAGTGACTTTTTTCTTTTAATAAGTGTGACATTCTTCACTGAACCTTCAAACGCTACATTTTTTTTTTTGGTGTAAAAGGATGTATCTTGAAACGTTTCGAATCCAGACGTTCATTTCGTATCATTTTCTTTGACTATTTTGGAGATTCATATATATATATATATATATATATATATATATATATATATATATATATATATATATGTTGGACTCTCCCGTCGTATTCGACGTATGAGGGTCAAGCAGTTCAGTTCCTAGGAACCGACAGCCAGACACCAGCACATATGATTTGATTAGTGGCGAAGGCTTTGTGCAGAAACAACTACACTTTTTTTACATTCACATTCGTGCTAATACCCTTGGGAAATGTATTAATCCGCTTATTTTACCTGTAGCTATGGGAAAATAGCAGTACAGACTGGGTTCTATAGCCTTGGGTGGCAACTAGAAGAAGAACAACTTGGAATTCAAATATATATATATATATATATATATATATTACCGGACACCACCGCGTAATCGGATATCTCAAGAAGGCAGAGCTGCGTAGCGCGACAAGAATCAGGCATGGTGGTAAAACTCGGACTGAGAAGGGAAGTGTTACCATCCGGGTTACTGGGGAAAGTCGAGGGAAAATCAACCTTCGTGAAAGATTGAGTGATTGAAAAGTTAAGGGTTTGGATGTCAGCGAGGTCAGTTACAGAGTGTTTAAGTCACATGGTACGGTGAGCGTTAAATTCACCGAAGACGGCTATGTTTGGAAACGGATGTAGAGAGATGGTCTTGTCTGTCTTATCAGAAATGCTATCGAGTACACAACACAACAGCCTTGAGAGGAAGGGGAACGATAGAGAAATTAGAGAAACCTTACTGAATTGAGGAAAGATAGAAGGAGTTATATATCCGAATGGTCTAGAAATTCCAAAGAGATTTCCCTAGCCTGAGAGAGATGATCGCAGCCATAAACTCCCAGGCCATGCATGTGAATTTTAGAATCTTTTCTAAGGAGAGGAAGGTAGCCAGGAATCTAAAAATCAGAGGAAAGTACTGATGAGTTAAGGTTAGTCTTACAGAGAGCAAGTACAGGGTGTTTCAAAAAATTTGATATCATTTTGCAATCTAATAACTTTGTTAGATCTCCTTCAAATGACTTCAAATTTTAATAGCATCTTTATGTTTAATGTTTGTTTTATGTTTTTATATCTTTATGTTTTTGTGTTTTTCTTATTTGTATTTGTATGTTCTTTAATCTTTTTCTTTACAGGTATAAAAATGCTATTTACTAGAAGAGAAAAGTTGTTTTGTGTGTTGGAGTTTACTAGAACACAGTCAAACAAGACTGTGAAGCGTGCATTTATGAGAGAGTTCTCTAGAAAGTCACCAACAGGAATGCAGATTTGGAGATGACATAAAAAGTTCAAAGAGGAAGGCTGTCTGTGCAGATCAAAAGTATCCGGACGACCACAAACTTCACATTTGTGAAATCGTTCACATAATCCACATGCTTTTGAATTTCTCATTCAGATTTGGAAGAATAAATCTTCTGATCTTCAACATTAATACTTTTTAATTTCATTAGCCTTAATCATGTACTTTCTGTGATATTTACATCTCAAAGGGTATCAAATTTTTTGAAACACCCTGTATATCAGGAGAGTCATCAAAGAGGAACGATTCAACACTGCAGAAGTTGGTACGAATACCACAGAAAGGAAATGTTAAAGGGTATAGGGGGATTTTAAGCTGGTTTAGGTTTATATCTTTTGTTGCTTATTGAGTTACGTTGGTAAGGAAAAGATATTAGAAGCAGTTGGTCATCAAAGTGGCATGAGCAAAAAGGAACTGGAGCAGTCTGCAACATAATGTGGCCTCGGGGTTGCCCACCCATTCATGGCAAATGCAAGAATCCCGATATTCTGTAACTGTCGATCAGTGCAGCCTCTCAATATGCTACGCAAGTGTTCATGCTCCTAACTACCAGTCGGGAAAAGCAACCAGAAAACTACCAACCCAGAACCCTCAGTATGAAGAGACATTGGCACAACCCGCACAAATGACAAGTAATTCCCGACAGTACTACTACCAAGGCCATAGAAAAAGAAATGATCTAGGAAACCCTTCCTAAATAGGGAACAATGGATGAGCCACTACTCCTGTTCAAGAGAAGAGGAAGGAGTATTAACCGGACGATAGGAAAGCCTATCTACTCCTATTAAAAAAACTCCCCAAACAGACAAAACAAACAACGAACAAGAACAAAGACAACAAAGTGTGTGTATATATATATATATATATATATATATATATATATATATATATATATATATATATATATATATATATATGCGTGTGTGTGTGTGTGGTGTGTGTGTGTATATATATATATATATATATATATATATATATATATACATACACTTAAATTGTGCTATATTTATGGAATAAAGTGCTCAATATCAGAGATAGATAGTGTGTAGATATAAAAGTGAACATTGAAGTCAACACATAGAAACGACAGGCTGTTTCATGCTAGACGCAATCGCTAGGCCACGATTGCGTCTAGCATAAAACAACCTGTCGCCTCTATGTTGACTTCAATGTTCTTTATATATATATATATATATATATATATATATATATATATATTAAGGTATTCACATTGTATTCAAGTAATTTCTTACAGTTCTTCTCCCTGCACTTATTTAAATTTACTAAACATAAAACTGTCAATAAATCACACAACACATCGAAAAAAAACAAACACTACTGGGTCAAAAAATAATTTTAAATTTAAAAGTAATATTTGTTTAAAATCAAGTTGAATAAAATTTAAGTAAGCTAATTTTCCTCAAATAACGTTTCAGAAAAGTATATTTTATTTTATTTTATATTTTTAAAAAATTTTTATATGGAATTCTTTATGATGATGAAAGAGCTGTCAATATGGATGGATTTATAGATTTTACTAAAGTGAAAAAAAATGATTCCAATCAATCTAAATTAAATCTGAAATACACGAAAATTTTTTTTTTTAAAAATCCCCCCAAATCTGTTTGCGATTAAAAGGTTTGTAGGTCAGAGGTATTAAGATGGGAGAATAGAAAAATAATTAATTTTTAATTTAGTATAAGTCCAAATACCGACTAATAAAACAATACGTGATTATCGAAGAAGTTCATAAGAGTCACACTTTGTTACCAAAAAAGCCGAAGTAAGCCAGACTACACACGATATATATATATATATATATATATATATATATATATATATATATATATATATATGGAATTTCATGTTAATCTTGCTAACCTCGAATCAATGGTCATTTAGTGAAAAGTGTAGCAGACTCTAAATACGTCTAGATTTCAAGAACGGAACGCGATGGGTCGGGTGAGGTAGGGGTGGTCCAAATATAGACGAAATCACTTGTTAGTTGTGTGGACTTCAATGAGATGCCAGGAACACCAACCCTCTTTAAAAACCTTGAAAATGGCGGGCGAATTCACGATTCAAATTAAAAAAAAATCTTTTTTTTTTCTTTCATTTTTTTGGATTTTATCGATCAGTTACATTAGAGTCACACTAGTTACCAAAAACCCAAAGCCAGACTACACACAACAAACACACATATGCATATATATATATATATATATATATATATATATATATATATATATATATATATAAGCGAACGATTCAAATTTGCACTTTAATCTCAGAGGGTCGGAACAAAATTAAATCAAAAATAGATTCCAAACAACGACAAGGAAAAAGGATTTTTTAATTACTTACAATTGGAATTTTATATTAATCTTGCTACACTCGAATCAACGGGCATTTATTGAATAGCGTTGTAGGCTCTAAATATATCTCGATTTTAGGAACTAAATGCGATGGGTCGTGAGGTGGGGGTCTAATCATTTATTAAATGTTTATAAATTTATAAATAATTTTCATATTTATGTCGTTATAAATTGGTAAACCTTAAATATTGCATTGCATTAGTCTTAATTGTATTAGCTTTTAGAATGTTGCAAATGTAAATGTATTCTTGTAATTAAACAGTCTAAAAAAATATTGTTTAATATTTTTGTTGCAAATTCTCAAGAGAAAAAAAGTATAAATTCACTTTCATCATATGTTTTGGTTTTATTCCAATTCTAATGATCGCTTTTAAAACAACAAACAGAAGTGTGAAATTTGTTAAAAAAGTGATGTCATGGGAAAAACCGTCATTTTGACACTACATTTTGACACTGAGGCCACGTTTATCAATGTTTGTCGAAAAACAAATCTGTAGAGGCAGTGGTGTTAGGATTAATTTGTCGCAAATACAGGCCATATTGAACTGTCTGTGGCGCACAGGAAAAAATACAGGCCGTATTGAACTGTCTGTGGCGCGCAAATACAGGCCGTATTGAACTGTCTGTGGCGCACAGAAAAACGTGTAGCAAAAATCAACTCGCAGAATAGACATATAAAGCAACCAGAGAAGTTCAATTTAAAATACGTGGTGGAGGTGGTGTTGAGACCGAAAATTTCATAGGATTACCAAAGATATAAATGCAAGTGTACCAGAATACAACAGCCGGACAACCAGTTGTATTCTTGAACATTTGTTTGTCTTTAATCTATCAGCTGATATGTCTACATGTAATTATATCTTGGTTAGCCTATGAACTTTTCAGTCAAACTCTCGTAGTTTAGACTGCTGTCTCAGAAACGTTGTTATATAAGTGGACATAGTTCTGTGCTGCATATTGGATTTCTCACTGGAACTGAAAACCCAACTCATCGTTGCAAAGGGAGCATTATTAAAATGCAAGGAGAGAAAATAGGCAGTAACTGATTAAAGATGCCTGCCTATTTATATCGGCCACGTTACGACCATAACACCGTTTCTCGTAAGATCACCGAAGATAAGCAAGGTTGGGCCAGGTTAGTATCTAGATGGGTGACAGCTTGGGAATACCAGGTGTTGTAAGCTTAGATTCATGGGTGGTGTAATGAATAACGACTCGGAATTTGAAATCGGAAAGTCGTGTTCAAATTCCAATGGGGTTCGATGTTTTCGCGGGTAACCGCGAATCACGTGAATCATCAGGGTCGTAGGGGCACCATATGTACCACAGCTGCGGTAGAAATGGTGTTTCTTGAACAAGATGGCCTTACGGAGCCCAAATCTGTTTACACCGGTTTTCATTCATCGTTGTATTTACTTAAGTGCAAATACCATTCTCCAAGCTATGGATTAATTAGTAGGACTTGTATCGAGAAATCCTTATTCTTCCCCCAAATCACTTACAATCTAAAAATATTTTCTGGATTTAAATTGCTTGCCAAAGGTTGATAAGTCGTAAAAATACAAATCGATCTTTGTTTATTGTACACAGCTGAAAACAATTATTTTTTATGTTCTTTCTCTCTTTCTTTTTGTACCACAGTATACAGATGTAACATCATATTTTGAAGTGTAGGACTTGTCAGTATACATGATAGGTTAGGAAGTCTTTGCATCGTTGAGATTTGCTTTCGTATAATTCATGCCAATAACTAAAGCATCTGGCTTTATTTTTCTCTCTCTTTCTTTGTCAGGTTAGACATGCAAGCGGCACAATAACCCCGAATGAATGAAGATGAACATCATTATCAAAATGGCTCACATCAGACGGAGAGAGAAGTTGAAAATATAATGAAGAATGGAGAACAGAATGGATTTTTTTCTGTATTTTTCAAACTAGTATTTTGATTGCTGGCATTGTCAAGGTGTCTGGTAATCCTGCCACGAAAGAAGCGCTATATCACACTTGGCCCGCTGGCGTTAGAATGGCATCGAGTCGAAATAAATGATTAACGGATTCTTTCTATATGGTTGTTACTGCAGTAACAAGGTATGCAACTGCGAATACATGCATACCATCACGCACACATACATAAAATATATTCAAACGGACATATTTATAAATAGATGTTATTAAGTGTGTATATGCGTGTGTTTCTGTGAGAAGAGTCATAATATTACGAAAACATTACTATATGCGAGCATAAAATGTATCAACAGATCCACATACACACACACACGCACACACACACACACACACACACATATATATATATATATATATATATATATATATAGATAGATAGATAGATATAAAAAGAAAGAACAGTAAGATATATAATATATTACAAAATAGTGCTCAATGTAAATTTACAGAGCATTAATGCTTATACTTGATGTGAAAATAATTCTACATACTGTAAGGGATTCTAATTACATTTAATTGTTCTTAAAAAAATATAGTATATTAGAAATTAAAAATTAAAAGGTAAAATATTTCAAATCGTAGTTAAATAAAAAGTATTCTAACCTAAACACCCCCAAAAGTCTTTAAATATACAAATAGAAAAAAATGCCTTAAGAATTTTTGCCGTTAACAATAAATTTTTTTAAAAAAATCCAGACGACATGCATTTAACGGATGTTAGATTTCATTGAAAAATACATCCTTACCCCCTACCAAAACGTAACTAATAACTGATACATCAACATACAGATATAATGAACACGGAGACACCCCTTGTCTAGTGGAAGTGGATTTATCTGTAACCTTGGAAACGTGAATTATGATTTTAGCTGTCTTTAAAACCCTGTAATTTTAAAAGTTACTTCAAAATTCGATTAAGGATGAAATGGAACTAACGTCTTTAATTTAATTACAAAATTAAATTCGGGGCTTTTAGCTTCCATTTTTGAAACATGGTTAGAACTGTGTAGCGAAAAAATATTTTAAATCAATTAATTTATATATATATATATATATATATATATATATATATATCTAAGCATTAAACCCCGAGCAAGGCGGGAGTGCCACTATTACGCAGGGTGTTACAGAGAGTGAAATAAAGAGAAAAGACTGGATATATGTGCAGTTGCGGAAAGGATAAAAAGAAGAACGGAGATGAAGGTATCAGAAGATGTCGATTGACATTGCATTTAAATTTTTGAACATTGTAGTTTTCAGGGAAGCAAGTAAGCGGAAAGGCAGTTCCAGTGTCGGTAAAGTGCGAGATAATAAGCTGTTGCTGCAGAGGTGGCGGTTACATTTAACTGTTTCAACAGTAAAAAGGTGGGACCTAGATGTCAACCTAGTAGCATGCTTAAATTCTTTTAGTCGGGGCACCAAAAAAAAAATAGCCCGTCAGAGCAGTTGTCTGAAAATATTTATAGAAAAGACAGAGAGAAGCCACATCACTCCTGCGAGAATGTGATTGGAGTCGAGATGACAAGTCAGCACCGACTATATTGCAGATGGGTTTGTTGAGGACCTCGAGATGAAGCGAAACGATTCCAGACCATATATGGCGACGGTATTCAATGCATGGGTGAATGGTAGATTTCTAGATGTTTAGGATAGATTCAGACGCGAAAATCTTTTTAGCACGACACCGAGAAGCAACTTCCCTTGATGCAGATGCAGCTATTGATTCAATGTCATTGTTCCACCCTCAGTTAGTAGAAAACGTGAGGTCAAGAAGACCCAGTAAGATGCTCTCGGGAAGTTGAGCATCAACCATGCTGATGGCGGGCGGGAAAGTTTCTCTATGGTGGTTTAATGAGAGCAGTTTCGCTTTGGAGGCATTAAAATTTACAAGCCATTTCCTACCCCAGTTAACCACTAATTGGAGTTTTTTTTCGAGACCAACGAAGGCTTCTACAAAACCGACTACATTTTTTGGCAAAGCTGAATACAGAGTGTGTGTCTATTGGTGAATCCAACGTTTAATCTAGCCGCCACTGACAACGTCAGAGTCAAGAAAAGTTCAGTTGCCCATTTTTTTAAAGAGCGTTCACAATTCTTAGAAATCCCATCTTTTCTCGAAATTTAATATCCCCTGTACGTATTTTCTATATATATATATATATATATATATATATATATATATATATATATATATATTCGAACTCAGCTCTGCGATTCCTCAATCCAAGCCGCTATTCATTACTCCACCGTGCCTCCAGTCGAATCCATTACATTCACTTACGTGCTAATAACCTTGAGAAAGGTATGAATCCTCCCCCCCTCCAGCAATGGGTAAAATAGCAGGACAGACTGGGTTCTGTAGCCTTGGAGAAGGTCAACTCTGAATTCAAAACCTGCGGAGGGTCGTTTGGGAACCTTGTGGCATTCGGTGCACCAGGTCTCTGTATTCGTCCCTTCAAAAAGTGTGGATGGTCCTGTACGAGGCCTTCACCACTATAATCAAATCTCATGTGCCGGTGTCGGGCTGTCGGTTTCCTGGAAACTGATCTGCTTGACCCTCATACGTCGAATCTCGACGGGAGAGTCGACTATATATATATATATATATATATATATATATATATAACACGCAGTAATATTAACTATGAATACGGCCACAATGTGATGACCTTGATTGCAATAAAAACATTCCTATAATTCTAGATAGATACATAAAGAAATCCATACATTTAGTTAAAAACTAAAATCATTCTTGGTAATGGATAAATGAATATCCAAAAGCTCTCGGACATGCAGACTATTTGAACAATTTTCAAACACATTATTACCAGTTGTGTGTTATTAGAATACAAGAAAATTTAAACAAGATGCTTAATTGTCAGGCGTCTTTAATGAAAAATATATATATATATATATATATATATGTCTCAGTGAGTGTATATATATATATATATATATATATATATATATATATATATATATATATAAAAAGAACATAAAATATTAAACGGCTTTTTAAAAATCCGTCATTTTCTTTCTCTTTTAGTCACAATCAGCGCCAGATTGGGAAAATATAAGATTTCATTATTTTAAACATACATAAATGCATACGCACGCAACTCATTTTTCGGCAACGATCTGATGAAGCCTAACAAGCGGAACGTATATTCGGATGTTTTTTAGAAGGATTATACTTTCATGAACGTTTTTCCAATTGTCAATAATTTATAAGTCTGTCGGGATCATATACCCAAATGTATAATATGACGATATTAGCTCCCGAAAAATATTTAATTCCGTAGAGCACTGTGGGGATAAAGCGCGAATTTGTAAACAGTCACGCTTTCTGCTCATAATGCAAGACTCTCCAAACAGAATTGAGTTCCCTAGGTCACTGGCGTGTTTATGATAAAATAAATACGCAAAATTCGCCCTGCGTCGATAGCCTAGGTCGGGTTTCCATCCTGGTTTGAAGCGACAGGATGTCTAGCCACAGCGATGAACTTTGAAACAGCAAAACAGTCCCTCTGTGTATAACGATATGAGATGAGAGAAGAGTGGTAATGAAAGATAGAAAAGCTCTTCTACACGTATATATATTGGTGTATGTTTGTGAGCACTTGCGTAGAATTAAAGACCCCTAATCTTAAATAAATGGCTAGCTGTAAGGTAGGCAGCTTTAGATCGCAACATATGGAGACTATAAAGACGCACTGAATCCAGTCACGCCTCCTTTTGTACGTAAACAAGAAAAGTTAATTACGTTTTTTTCATTTCTCCTCTGTTTACATTAACCTTTGCTGACACACGCCTGATGTAGATAAATACGGAGATGCATTTCCCTATGAATTTATACACAAACTCTAAGAAATAGTGTATTCCTATTTTCTATGTGTTCCTTGAGTCAGGCACAAGATTTCAAACATGAATACACATATCTATCTATCTTTATATATATATATATATATATATATATATATATATATATGATCGAAATAAAAGTGTAAAATTTAATATTACAAGACATATTAAAGCAATATTAAATAATAAAAAAAAAACTCAACAACAAGGGGGGGGGAAGCAACCGGTTTCGCTCCCGCTCTTCAGGCTTCCACGGGAGATTCAAAATTAAAACAGAGAAATGTACAATAAGAATAGATGGAAAAAAAAATTTGTTGTTGAGTTTTTTTATTATTTAATAATTTTTTAATGTCTTG